GGGCATGAGTGTGAGCCGCTCCATCCTCTGCACCAAGTAACCCCAACCCGCTCCCCGCCTGGCAGAGGGACTCACACATGTTGAGTTGGCGAACGAAGCTCGCCATGTTGCTGTGCTTGAAATACTGGGGCAGTACTTCCTTGGCGAAGCGGCTCTGATCACTTACGAGGAAGCTGGTCCCGCTCTACCAAGAACGAAGGACGCCCACCGGGTGCAGACCAGACTAGGTGAGTGGCGGCCACCCACTGCTGAGCCACACTCACTCACTCTGGGGTCCAGGTTTGCACCTCACTGGGAGGTGGGACTTAACCAGGTCAGAACCATAGGAGGCCTACTCTGCCATAACCACAAATAATTCCTACCCCGAGCCAGACCCAGACTCGGTTCTCAGAAAGAACTAGCACGTCCCAGACTCACTATGTGACCCTGAGCCAGAGGTAGAGCCAGCCCTTCCCTTCCCTTGGCCTGTTTTCTCATCAGTAGATGAAGTAAATAAAGAGAATTACTTAGGTCCCTTGGGCTCTAGGACCCTTACTCCTCCTCATCCTTATCTCACCTACCCCTTCCACCGTGATCCACTCTGGACAGCTGAACCGAGGTACTCACAGCCCAGTCCCAGGCGGGGGCTGGGTAGGCATGGGTGTTCACAGACATTGGAGGGACCCCGGGGACCACTGAGGGAGTTGAGGGGCCCCAGCCCTCACCGGGCTCCAGCGGATGAGGTGGTCTGTGCCTGGGTCGCCCACCAGCGCCCATAGCTTGCCGAGGAAGGCAGGTACCGGGCTGGGGCCTGGCTCCGTGGGCAGCGCAGCTGGCGCTTCCTGCATGGCGCAGTCTCGGCCGGGCTCAGCGTTCCAGCCCGGCCGCTGCGGGCTTGTCAAAGCCGCGAAAGTGCTGCGTTTGCCGCCCGCCCCGCCCTACTCCGCCCCTGGGCGCCGGGTCAGGTGGGGGCCGCGTGCGAACCCTAGAGGCGGGGCTCGGACAGCGGCCCAGCCACCCGCAGAGAGAAAGGGCTGACTGCAACGTAGGTGTGTGGGCATGAGGAGGGGAACCCAGGTTCGAGTCTCATCCTTCTCAAGTCCCTCTCTTTCTGGGTTGATTGGGAGAAATCATCTGTGGGCTAGAAGTCCTAGAAGTTCATCTGTGGACATAGTGAAGCCTAGGTAAGGGAGGGCGGACAGAAAGGGTGGTGGGTGCTGCTGGCCCTCCCCTGACTATCGGAACGCTAGGGAATTGGTCATCCCTGGGATATAGAGTGCACCGATCCCGACCCAGCAAAGTCACAGCACAAAAGCCCCTGAGATCTCCGTTCTTGCACTTCTAGCCGTTCTGCTTGCTCGTCCAGCCTTTGTGCATTTCCTGCCCTCCCCTTCAGAGCTGACTCGAGATCACAGGACGCAGGAATACTAAAGGATTTATTTACTTCACACTCACCCTTGACTTTTGGCTTGTATTTGTGCCTGCCCTCCCCCAGCTCTGGGCCTCGGAGCCTCGCAGCTGGCACAGAGTGAACAGAGGGGAGGGAGAGCCTAGAATGGGCAGAGACACCGAGGTTGAGAAGGCCCCGTGAATCTATGGAGCCTGGATCTGGTCTGGATGTCCTCATAGGCCACAATTCCCGAGAAGCATCGTAGTCAACGGACTACTAAGGACAGGGCTAGCCGCTGGGAAGTGCCTGCGCAACTTGCTCAGGCCTTTCAGTGGCTTTGGGTCTGCGCGGTCCCGGAGTGGTGAGATTGCCCAATCACCGCACCAGCGTGGGCCGCCAGGGATGCGGCTCACGCTTTAGTTTGAGCGTGTAGCTGCGCAGGCGCGGACAGTGCGCGCGGAAGGCGTCCAGTACCGAGGGTCTCACCACGCAGAAGCAGTGTATCTCCCTCAAGGCCGCGCAGCGCGCCGCCAGCTCCTCCAGAGCGGTGTGCAGCTCGGTGGAAGCGGACGCGCGCACCTCGAGGGCGCGCAAAGTTTCGGCGTAGTGGCGCGCTGCGAAGCGCACTGGCCCTACCGTGTCACCCGAGAGGTTGAGACGCAGCACAGCCACTGGTACTGCAGGTTGCAGGACGCGCGTTACGGCCTCGTCTGGAAGCGCGGGCTCCAGTTCCAGCTCCACCTCCAGCCCAGGGTGGCGGCAACTCAGTGTCGCCCAGGCTTCATCAGGCAGGAGGGGCGCACGAGCATCTTCGGGGCACGCGCCCCGCAGTGCCAGGAGTGCAAACGGGGCGCGATGTGGCGCGGCCAGCAGTTCCAGCGCGGCACGCGACAGACTGGCCAGGTGCAGTCCAAGGGCGCGTAGGTGCGGGCAGGCCTCCAAAAGCTTGAGCACAGAGCTGGGCTGCACATTGTCCACCAGTGCATGGTTGTCCAGGAAAAGACTGCGGAGCTCGGGACAGTCACGTGCAGCCTGAAGCACCAGTGAGTCGTCCAGCGTGTAGGGCAAGCGGCGCAGGTCGAGATGGTGCAGTTGGTGAGCGGTTCTGCAGACTGCATGCACAGCGCTCAGGATGTCGCCGCCGGCATCGAAAAGTGGCTTCTCTCCGTGGCATTCCAAGCGTAGGCCTCGAAGTCCTGGGGCTCGGCCTGCCAGAGCAGTCAGTAGCTCAGTGGCCGCTCGGCGGCTGGGCTTCTTTGATGGCTCATATTCCAGCCTTAGGTTGTGAATATGGTCCAGGCAGGTGGACAGATAGGGTGGCAACAAGTCTTCCAGCTCACAGTCACAACTTGTGTTAGAGCGACACAGAAAGGAATTAGCGGTATCACCATGAATAGGGGAAGAAACTTTTTTAAAAACAAATTAATGTATTGTTTTTTGTGTGTGTATAGTTGTTTTGCTTGCATGTATGTCTGTGCACCCCAGGTGTGCCTGGTGTCTGAGGAGGTCAGAAGACGTCGCTGGATCCTCTAGGACTGGAATTACAGCCGGTTATGACTGCTGTGTGGGAGCTGGGAATCGAATCCAGGTCTTTTGGAAAAGCAGCTAGTGCTCTTAACTGAGGAGCCATCTCTATGTGCCCCTCACTTTGGGTTCCACTGGCCCTCCCTATTTTCTGTGATGGGAACTTCCATTCTGTTTATTTGCTTGTTTATTTTAATTTTTAAGGTCTTTTCCCCCTGAACTTTATTTATTATGTATACAGTATTCTGCCTGAATTTGTGACTATGCCAGAAGAGGGCACCAGATCTCATTATAGATGGTTATGAGCCACCATGTGGTTGCTGGGAATTGAACTCAGGACCTCTGGAAGAGCTGCCAGTGCTCTTAACCTCTGAGCTATCTCTCCAGCCCCCTTATTTTGATTTTTTTTTTTCAAGACGGGGTTTCTCTGTAGTTTTGGAGCCTATCTTGGAACATGTTCCGTAGACCCATGCTGGCCTCGAACTCACAGAGATCCGCCTACTTCTGCCTCCCGAGTGCTGGAATTAAAGGCCTGCACCAACAATGCCTGGCTCTATTCTTTTAGAAGTCTTCAGAGGCTTCTGCCTCAGGTTGAACACCCACCCCGCCCCCAGCCCTGTGAAAAACCAATGGTTTTTTTTATTTAAGGAACTAGGCTTGCTCATTAGTCTGTGGAAGTAGAGCAGGGCCTCCAGACTGCCAGGTTCAAATTCTGCCTCTGCCACTTAGTTGAAGCCTCCAGGCCCAAGTGGCTTACGTCTCTAAGCCTCAGTTTCCTGCCTGTGCAAAGGAGATACTATCTACCTGCTACAGGAGCTTCTTATGAGGATTATATGAGCTAATTTATGTAGGGCACTTAGAACATTCCTTGGGGGTTGGGGTCAGAGCTTAGTGGTAGAATCCTTGCCTAGCAAGTGTGAGATCCTAGGTTCAATCCCCGGTCCTCAAGAAAACAAAACAAAACTACCCAGTACTAATTGGTATATGGTAGGCGGCCGATGGGTTTGCGTGTTGTCAAGTCTGAAGACAGTGGTCGGCAGGCAGCTACTCACCTGACGCTGGTATTGTGCCACACAGCACTGCCCGTGGCGGCCACAGCCCAGGCCCTGCAGACTCTGGCAGCCACAGCACGGTCCCTGAGAGGCAGTTCACGGAAGATGAGAGCCAACACTTCCTCCGGCAGTTTTTCTACGGGCTCCACCATGGTGTGGCTGGGGGGGACAGGGTCTGCTGCTCCCAGCAACTGGGCCTAGAGCGAAAGAGGAAGCCCTGGGCTCAGAAAGGCCGAAGGATTTCGGAACTGCCAACGCTTGGGAGATGCCAATAGCCTGGGAGATGCTATCCAAAATTTGCAGAAAATGTAGAGATCCCAGCCTGTGAGATGGCTCAGCAGATAAAGGCACTTGCCCTCAACACTGATGACCTGAGTTCTATCCCTGGGAATCAGTGGCAGAAAGAAGTGACTTCTGTAAGTTGTCCTCTGACCTCCACTGGCATGCATGTCCACCCTGGATGGAGCACTTCCAAACACATATGCACATGGGTAAATAAATAAATGATAGATTTAAAAAACAACAACAGGATGGGCCTGGAGAGCTGGCTTAGCAGCTAAGAGAGCTGGCTGTTCTTCCAGAGGATCCAGGCTTGGCCCCAGCACCCACATGGTGGCTCACAACTGTCCTTAACTCCAGTTCCAGGGATGTGACACCTCTTCTAGCTTCTGTGGGCACCAGGCACACACACCCATACATACATGCAGACCAACACCCACACACATAAAAATGCAAATCTAAAAATGATTTTTTAATCATTTAAAGACTGAAGAGATCCTGGTGGCGGTGGCGCACGCCTGTAATCCCAGCACTCGGGAGGCAGAGGCAGGCGGATCTCTGTGAGTTTGAGACAGCCTGGTCTACAGAGTGAGATCCAGAACAGGCTCCAAAGCTACACGGAGAAACTCTGTCTCGAAAAACAAAACAAACAAAACAAAAACCCAAAAAACCAAAAAGACCGAAGAGATGGCTCATCAATTAAGAGCATTCATTGCCCTCATAGAAGGTGGGGATTTTGTAACTACAGTTCTAGGAGGTCTAATGCCCTCTTCTAGCCTCCACGGCACTGCACACTCATGTTACATAGACATACATGCAAACAATACACATTAAATAAATTAGTTAATTAAAAAAAGAAAATGCAGGGTTGGGGATTTAGCTCAGTGGTAGAGTGCTTGCCTAGCAAGTGCAAGGCCCTGGGTTTGGTCCTCAGCCCTGGAAAAAAAAATGCTAGCTAGGCTTGGTGCAGGCCTTTAATCTCAGGAGGCAGAGGCAGGTGTTTAAGGCCTCTGAGTTCGAGGTCAGCCTGGTCTACAGAGTGAGTTCCAGGACAGCCAGGACCTTTACACAGAAAAATCCTGTCTCAAAAAAACAAAACAAACAAATAAATAAACAAAACAAACAAACAAAAAAGAAAAGAAAACACAGAGGTTTCTGTTCAGAATGTTATTAATTTTCCCCAAAGGGCTAAGGGTGTAGCTCAGTGGTTGTGCCACACACACACACACACACACACACACACACACACACACACACACTTTCTCATCTCTGCTGTGTAGCCTGCCTGGTGTTGAAGGTGAGATACTCCAGCTTCAGTGGTTTGGTCTTCCTTCCTTCTTTCTTTTTTCTTTTCTTTTCTTTTTTTCTTTTTTTTGGTTTTTCGAGACAGGGTTTCGTTGTAGCTTTGGTGCCTGTCCTGGATCTCGCTCTGTAGACCAGGCTGGCCTTGAACTCACAAAGATCTGTCTGGCTCTGCCTCCCAAGTGCTGGGATTAAAGGCGTGGGCCACCACCGCCCGTCCCCTTCTTTCATTTTTATTTTTTAAAGATTTATTTACTTATGTATACAGTGTTTTGCCTGCGTGTATGCCTTCAGGCCAGAAGAGGGCACCA